GCATATAAATGAAACCATCCTACCTCCTTGTTTTATTATCATGGTAAGCTTTCCTGAACTGATTCCTTTGGTAGTAAATGGGCTTAATGTGTTGTCTTCTGAAGATTTAAAGGCCATTTTATTTCATGCCTCTTTTAATTTCATGCACTTTATTATAACTTCTTTCAGAAGATTTCTTTAGAATTATAGTTTTGCTCTGACATTGATTGATGCACGTTTATTTGGGCACCTGAGATTATTTGCTTCTAAATGTGTGTACAATGCATAGGTTTTGTGTGTGAGATGCTTCTTCTGGAGATAATATTAGCAAAACAGTATGATCAGAAAAAAAAAAATATGTTTTTTTTTTTTTTCTTTTAAGAAAGAAATCTTTGGAGTGCCATGGAAGGGGACAGTTTATTTTGTTATTTTGGGGATAAAAATGAGTTTAGTCAACATTTGTACATCGTGATAAATACTGTCAAAATAATTTGTTAGTCAAATGTATTGTCATACAGAGAATTATAAAGTCTTCTCCGATCTGTTTTAAATAATACTTGAACTGTGAGATTGCCAGGTATTGTATTCACTGAAGCATCCCTGGCTCTTCTAGTAGGTAGCTGACTCTTAAGCCAGCTGCTGACTGCTACATGACCATTAAATAGAGTTTCATGTAAATTGAGTAATGCAAGAGTAACTGGTAAATAGCTGAACAGGAAGGATATGTTTTTAAAATTTCTCTACACAAAATAAAATGCCACTTTTTTTTTTATGGCTGATTACCACTAGGGGTCAGGACTGACACCAATGCTCTTTAATGTCTTTAACAGTGACGTCAGCGGTGGGATGAAGTACGCCCTCAGGAAGTTCACAGATGACACCAATCTGTGTGCTGTGGCCACAGGGGATGTCATCCAGAGAGACCTAGACAGACTGAGCAGTGGGCCCAGGGGAACCTCATGCAACAAAGCCAAGTTGCAAGGTCTTGCACCTGGGTGGTGGCAATCCCTACTGTCAGTGCAAGCCGAGGGATGAAAGGATAGATTACAGCCCTGCCAGAAAGGATCTGGTGTACTGGTAGATAGCAAGCTGAGCATGAGCCAGCAGCGTGCTGGCCAGAAAGCCAATTGTATCCTGGGCTGCATCAAAAGAAGCATGGACAGCAGGTTGAGAGAGGTGATCCTGCTCCTCTACTCTGTGCTGATACCTCACCTGGAGAACTGCATCCAGATGCTTCAAGGAGACCTAAGAGTGGTATTTCAGTATCTGAAAGGGGGCTGTAGAGAAAAAAGAGGACAGGCTCTTGAGCAGGTTCTTTGGTGACAGAGCAAGGGGAAATGGTTTCAAATTAAAAGAAGAGAGATTTAGGTTGGACATAAGGAAAAGGCTTCTACAGTGAGGGTGGTGAGGCAGTGGCACAGGTTGCTCAGTGATGTGGTAGAAGTCCCCATCCCTGGAGACATTCAAGGTCAGGCTGAATGAGGCTCTGGAGCTGCAGGGGAGTTGGACTAAATGGCCTTTAAGTGTCCCTTCCAACCCTAAGGATTCTGTGGTTCTACTCGCCTACTGCTACTGGCTGTTATTCTGTGTTTGTTTATGGTGTCAGAGACTGGTAAGATTAGAACTAGATAGTGACACAATACATTGCAAGGGAAAATACAGTGTGAGAGTTCTTTCATATTAGGTTTAAAAATATATTTATCATTACTTGTATGTCCAAAAGGGACATTTTTTCTCCACTGTAAGATGTGTTCATTCTCGAAACAGAGAATGTTACTGTTGGCTATTGAACTTAAATACTTCATATTTTTCCAAAATAACTTGCCCAAATTTCCTTCTTGACCAAATCTCATAGCTAAAAATAGATAAGATACTGTAATAGGCATATCTTTCTGTTGTGATTTATTGTTAGAATATTATTAGTGTCATTGTTTTAACACATGTAGATACTTTATCTAGGTCTTACCTCTAATAATGTATATACTTCCCTTTGTGCATAGACATGATCTTTTTTTCAAGGTCACTTGTCTATGCTTTATCAAAACTAATTCTTCGTTTTGTTTTTGTCCTGATTACTTCCAAATATGTCTAAATGAGAATGTATTTAAAAGTCAGCATGAGTAAGATATGAATTTTTGTTTTTATACTTCAGCTAATTTATGGGTTTTTCTTTGAACCATAATACAAAAAAAAAAAAAAAACAAAAAAAAAAACACAGTTATGGGACTGAGTAGATGAAAACAACGTTGGTACGTGTGATTTTGATTTCAGAAGATGTGCTAGGTGTTTTAATGCCATTCTTCACAAACCAAATGGCGTTCTGTCTGAAATGTGTGAATAGATATTCGAAGGAAAGGAAGGAAGATGGTGTTTGCTGTACAGAATTTTGACTATTATTTCAACGAAATAGAAAATAAAAAAATTAGAAATAATAAAAGCGTGGGAGGCCACTCTTCCAGAGTTTGCAAGGAATCAGTGAAGGAAGATTATGAACGATCATTGATTTCATGGAGTTTGTCACTAGTTGTGTCTGAGCTCAACCAAATCATATTACAAATCAAATTTGTATTATTAGTCTCTATTCTGTTTAATTTTGCATGATATAGCAGTGTGGATGGAACTTCAGACTTGTGGATGGAAAAGATCAGAGGGGAGGGTTTACATGACCTTAGGTACTACAGAAATTTGCACGGTGTCTCAGGAGTAAAAGAAGACATGGTATCTAAGAGATGAGATTTGATCTTTGGAAATATGTAATATCCTGTCAATTTAAAACTGTTTCGTTTTTCATGGCCATAAAACGATGCAATTAAGAACAAGTTGGATGTGGCTTTGGGCAGTCTGGTCTGATGGTTGGTGAGCCTGCACGTAGCAGAGGGTTGAAACTCGACCCAGGCCATTCTGTGATTCTGTGATTGACAGCCCTAACAGTCTATCTTGTATTTCCTGTAAGGACTCTTTGTATCTTTGTTTTTAAGGTCTATTTCCCTTCTTCTGTATTCCTGCACTATGGGAATAGCCTCAGTGGAGCTCATAAAAACAGGAAAACAGGTCGATAAATACACGCTTTAGGCAATCCTGTACACGGGCACAAAATGATCTAAAACCTGATTTAACCTCAGGCCAGTCATGATACTGAATAGCTGGTACCTATAATGAGTCTGAGTGGCATGCAGCCCTTGTCATGTACATGTGGTTGGGCAGATAGAGATTATCATTCAAAGACACAGTACAACTGTTGTCATCATTACTGCTGCAGGATTGTGTTGGCTTTTATTGAGAAATGTAGGTAGCAAATTAGGATGAAAAAAAGGGATACCTCTTTTCAAAATGAAAACCTGGGAATTCTCCATTCAGCCATACTGTAGGAGTCAAAACCATTTGATTTTTATTTGAATGTCATTCCTTATTTTTTGTCTACTACCTGGCCTCATCATATTTCTCAGTTTTTTCACGATGACCCCAGGAGACTTACCACACTTCTGTTTACTGCTTGATCTAATACTTCTCATGGGAACCACTGTCATGACTTGCAGGCCTCCAAAGCCTTTCCAAAGTTGAGTTTCTCCCTTCCAATGCCCCAACTGTCTGTAATCCTTGCAAGCTGCTTTTGTCAAGTCTCAGACCTCTCCCTCATCAGTGTCAGCGTGCAACAAGATAAATCCATTAAGAAATATTCTATGCAATGCTGCCCTACTAAACACATATAAATTGTCTGTGCTGCTTCAGGTTTGCTAGCAATTCATTGACAATTCAATGTTTTCTACTACTTCTTATTCCACAGGTACATTTAGAAAGTCTTGCATGTTGATCAGCTAGGAAGTAAGGGGCGGAGACAAAAGGAGGTGTATGTGCAGGAAGCTGTTTCTGTGGAGCTTAATTTTATTTGAACGCAATATCCTGTATTCTCTGAGCTGTGTCTTGTTTGCTTGTTTCCTTTAAATCTATGCATACATACACTTGAGGGCATTGCTAAAGTACTTTCTAGTAGTCTGTAACAAACTTATTGCAATCAGTTGTGATGTAAGGTCTGGATCAAGGCCTGTACTGACCATACAAGTCCAAAGAATAGAGAGCTGATACAAGAGGCAATCGTAACGTAGCAAAGTTGTCTCAGTGAGATTTAGCTTACAACTCCTAGTATCACTTACTGTGGCATCTTGCCATGTTATTGATATTGGAGACCAACCTTTTTTCTCCCTCTTTCCTTGCCAAGAGAAGTTATCAAATTCTTGCAAAGCAATGAATCTGAGAAGCTGAGGTGTTGCATCAAAGTCAAAAGATCAGTGTATCTGTTGCAGATGCATTTAGGAAGAGCTAAAAATTTAAGGTCTGATTTCTTTGGTGGTAGTTGGTTTTGGTTTTTGTGGTTTCAGTGTGTGTTTTCACTTAAAATAGAGAAGGTTCCCTAAAGTGCTGTTTTGTGACACAAGCAAAGCCAGATTATGCAGATAAGAAATATATCGACTGCTGTACATTTGGAGCCTAATTTTATTAGCTGCCCATTTACTTCATGCAGGTATCCAACTTTTAAGATCTTCATGTCTGTTTCCCTCCCCATTAATAAAACAATCTAATTGTGCTAGTTTAGTGCTTACTTTTTAAAAATAGCTTTCTATGTTCATTTCTTGATAATAGTACTTAGTTGATAATAGCAAGTCCACTTGGAACAGACACTTTCTGTAAAACAGTATGCCAGAATTTTTGTGTGGCCTTGGGCTGTGGGAACCAGAGGATGCATGAATATCCTGCAGTTGTTTTGGTCATGAATATATAGCAGATGGCAGGTTGCCAGTAGCAACTGCAGCAAAAGGTCCAGAGAGTCAGTGTCTTCCTCTGGGTGATAAAACACAGCATTTGCACTTTCTGAACCGTCTCAGAGAGGATTTGTGGCAGATTTTGGAGGTCTTGAAAAAACAAGAGATGGAAATGGATAAGCTTGCAGGTTGTATGCCAACCTGTCCTTCTGTTGGCTCCTCCAGTCTTGGCACAACTGACGCTTTTTTTGCCCTTCTTTCTAGAACATTTAAAAGAGAAGCTGGAGGAATACATGGTCCGTTTTGCCAAAGTGAGGATTGTACGTACCAAGAAACGAGAAGGGCTCATTCGGACCAGACTGTTAGGAGCCTCGCTGGCTAGAGGAGAAGTCTTGACATTTCTGGATTCCCATTGCGAAGTCAACGTGAATTGGCTGCCTCCCCTGCTTAGTAAGTGTCTGAGTTTTCATCAGCCATTAAAAGTAGAGCGTATAGCACAGTTTAAGCAATCCAGGCCACAGCTCACCATAAGGACATAAAATGTGCAGAAGCATTTGGAGCTGCAGTGCAGTGTCTGAAGAAGCAATATGAGAGAGAACTCAGAAAAACCTGAGCAGCTCTAATTTATGTTTTGGCTTTTTTTTTGCAACCAAAGAACTAGTGAGATTTAGAAGTGACACTTTGGCCTATCAGAGTTACATTAGAGTTACATTTTATTGTGTTATTACTACTACTAAATAGACTACTAAATCTAGTATTGTGCTGTGCCTTTACCATACACCTGAAAACTTTTGTTATGCATTTTTCATACTCCTTCCTAGGCTTCTACATTCCATTAAAATAGCTTTCACCGCAAATGTATCTAGGACTTCAGAGTTAAATCCAATAACAACACATTCACAATAGAAAGCTCAGAGAGAATGATTAGCTATTGACTGCTTTGCTGGATTCCAGCTGCACCCAGCAAAGCTCCATTAGTCAAAGAAATGGAAAGAATCAATTGTTGTAGTCTAGGATTTCACTTAGGAAACAATGTTCCCTCTTCTGCCCTCCTGATTACATGCGAAGTTTATGAAAATGAGTGCTTTCTGCTAGCAAAGCTAAATAAAACTTCTGAATTTGTTATTAAGGAAATTTATATTAATTACAAGAATATGTCATAATGGTATGACAGGAAAGCGTTTCATCACCTAATGGTTATTGTTTCTTGAATCTTGTTTGTAGGCCATACGATAAGCCAATAAACATTTACAGCCAAGGAGAGGCATTGTTCTGCTAATGAGCAATCACTTGAAACCAAAAAACAGAAATATTAACTGTTTTTCTTCAGATCAGTAGAAGGATAATTTCAAAATTCCAAATTTACATCATTCCTAGCTTCCATATCAATTTACACTCTCTCCGTTTGTTACCATACCGCCCGTAGTCACAAGATCAGTGTTTTTAGCAGTAACTTCGCTGTCTTCATGTAAAGCCCAAATGGCATAAAGGAGCAGAGAGAAATGTGAGTTTCAATGCTCCTTCCACAGGCAGCCCTGACAGATAGCCGTCCAACACCCTGCAGTGCACATATGCTTCCTTTACCTTCTGATTTTTCCCCAAAGTGCACAGTACATCACTACTAATGTAAAAAAAAAAAATCAGGAAGATTGTCGCTCTTGTCTGCTGAAATCTTTTGCTAAGTTGTTGCAGATGATATTTAACCCTTGTATTTTGCTAGCTTAGATGTGGGAAAATTGCAAATTGCAAAAACAGTTCCTTTTCCTGTTTTCTTGTGTAAAGCAAAGATACATCTAGCTGGGTTTCACCAAATAAATAATGCTAAACAGAACGGCCACAAAGAATTCATAATAGCAACTAGGTTCACAGGGATGTTGCACTGATGATCTCAATCCTCAACCTTGAGATAGAAAAGTGAAAAGATGATAGAAGGGGATCAAGACCCTGTTCTATCCAATTCTCAAGTGCAACAGCATCTTTCTCAGTCTGCTTTCAGGGGAAATACCCTTAGCAAACCAGACAGAGGATCTGGGAAGTAATCTAGTGGAACACAGGAGCCCATGTGCAGTAGGCTTGATTTTGAAGAAAAGAATACAAGCTTTACATGAGGGAGGGCAAATAGTGGATGAACACTCAATGTAAGAACGCCTTATACCCTCTTCACCCAAAGGGAAGAGGAGATTTTCTCAGAACCATTAGATGGTTAGGAACTAATAATAGTAAAGCTGATAAATATAGATAGATATTTGCAAGTGTTTACCTAAAGATTTGTGTTGTGATTCATACAGCACTGCATTTGAATTCATGTTGTTCAAGGAAACCAGAACAGAAGCTGCCCTATTTTAACTGTAATTTTCATCCGTTGAGCATAGTGGAAAGTGCTCAAAAAGAGCCCATTTCAATTCCATGCTGGAGTGAAGATTGCCAGTCTTCACTGAGAGAGGCAATAACTTGTACTGCTCCACAGTAGTGGCAGTTCTTCTCAAAGTCAGTCCTTGCATGATAAAAGACAGAAGGAAAAAGAAAAAGAAAAAAAAAATCACTTAAAGACAGTTCTCAAAGTTATTTAGGCATCTGGCTTACATTTTTAGAATTGACTATCACTTTTTAGACCATAGGAAGACTGAGTTGCTTCAGTACTTGTAAGATATCAAAATAACTCAATGATAGGTATTTTCTGTGGGGAAAAAAATATATTCATTTCAGTTACAGCCCTTATTTTTTTCTTAAAATGGCTGCAAAATGGCTTTTCTTTACTTTTCTAAGCTTTATTTAGTTTATTTGGCTAGCTTAAATGGCATTCTAAACTGAGATCAGCCACTCCAAGACTGAGATCGCAGGGAGTTTTGCCTGCTGGTCACTAAGCAGGCAGCTGTAGCCATGTAAAAATGCTGGCAAACACAGCTGGTTGGTATCACTTCTCAGTAGTGTGAAGTCAGCTGAAGGAGAACTGTAATTTGGACTCCAGCTGCTGTAGTTGAGTCCAGTGTAGTGCAAAAATCAGTTGTCATGTGCTTGAAGTAAGAAACTGAGGGGCAAACCAGCTGCAAGATGCAAGCATGTCTTATGTTAGGAGTAGTTGGGATAGAGAGCAGTTGGTGGCAAAGGCAGCAGCATGTTTACATCTGTAAAGCTATGATACCAGTACTCTCGGGGAACATAAGCTTGCCCCTACAGCACTTTTATCTGTGTCCTGAATTCATATTAAGGCTACGTTTAAGCCTTTAAAGCCTGTATGTAAAATTCATTATTTCAGGCATACTGGAAGAAACACTAAGGCTGAAAGTTTGATTACTTTGCCTTTTGGTGTGCACTGGTATGTAATTTAACATCCTACTTTCCTCAAATGTCCAGATTTTGCTGTGGTTCCTCATTGATCAGGCATGTTAGCACCATCCTACTTGCAAAAGTCTTGCAGACTTGTAGGGAGAAAGATGGGGTTTGAATTGGAGCACTGCTCAAACTGTTGTATCACTGGCTGTCTTTGCTTGTTTCCAATCCTTCAACCTATTTAAAGACAGCAACTCTTAAAGGGAAAGATGTGTATGCATTATGATCTACCTTTGACCCACACCAGCCAAATCAACCCCGTTTAATTTCTCACTTCCAATCTGTTCACAAAGCAAGGATCAGAGATAGATTATCATAAGCCCTGTAATTATTAGCAGGACCATCACAGGAAAGAGATTATATAAAAATGACCTTACATGATGATTACAGATAGCACTACATAGTATATCAGTGAATGTAATTATATTTGGCAGTTGCAACAGTAATGCAGCCATTATCTCTCAGAAGAGTTTCCTAGAATATTGTGAGAGCAGCACTTTAAATTTATTTCGCTGTTCAAGATTTAGGATGTAAATCTCCCAGGTATAGCAATTTCTCACTAGCAGTCAGTGCTGTTTCCCCATTTGGACAGTCTCTTAATAATAATTGAGAATAAATATATAAGCAACAAAAGTTTTGCTAAAACATACATATATATATATATATATATATATAAAATTTTCATTTCAGTCCTTCATAAACAGGGAAACAAGGTCCACATTGGTAATAATCATGCTAATATTTCTTGCCTTAGTACCTAAGTGTTCATTATACATTCCTCCCTCTGATATTTGGGGGCTTTTCTAGGATATTTCCAAGCACTAGTGAAATCTAATTCTTATTAAAAAAAAAATCACGTAGGCTTAGAAAATGTATTACATTTTGTAGAGAAACTAGGATATCATTTGGAGAAAAAGCTTTACTACAGTTACAATGTTGAGACCTTGTTTTTTCAAGGTTTCATGGATAATTTTTCTGCTGCTCTTTAATTCAAGTGCAGCTACAAAGTTTTCGTGTACTTCCTCACTTCAAAACATGATTCTTCTGCCTAATTCTTGCAGTTGGCATATCTTCTTTCCTTTTATTTCTTTTCTGGGAAGCTCTAAGGGATTAAGCAGTAGGATTCTCCAAAGGCAGACTCAGGCCCACACTGCTTTTATATTAGAGACGGGAATTTGATTTAGTCTCAAAGCTTCATTTTTTTTTTTTAAGTCAACTGAAACCCCCTTCTTTATAAAACAGGTGAGTAAGAATAATGCTCTAAGGCTTTCTCTGTACTGCCAAGAAAGGCACAAAAAGGACTGCAGCCCTATTTTGTTCCTTGTGTTGGAATTTGCCTTTAATTTTAGCTTTTGATCTCGGAGCTGATGTTCACCAGTGCTACAGAGCAGGGGCTGAATGGTTGCAAAGTCTGAGATTTGCATTTGGGAACATGAATCTCTTTCACAGGAGCCTGCCATATACACTCCCCACAGCTGAAGGAGTATTTTTACATTTTGCTCGCTGGCTTGTTGCATAGCTGACAGATTGGGGACAGCTTAGAGTAGCAAAGTGACAGAGATACAGATGACTGGACTCCTGTGGGTCTCTGAGGGATATGCCTCCCTTTAAAGAACTGTAAATGCTTCTAATCATTGCCCAACTGCATTAAGTCCTCTTAGACAAAGGCTTGATACAGATTTGAAAAATGAAATGTTTTGGGGGCCACAGGAAACGAAGCAACCGATCTTCAAACATCAAAAAACCTGTGGGATTCGCTTTGCAGTAATATGACAGATGGCTTGACTAGACATGCCATTTCCTATTTTCTACTTTCATTTTTCAGACCAGATTGCACTAAACCACAAAACCATCGTGTGTCCTATGATCGATGTCATTGACCACAATCATTTTGGCTACGAGGCACAGGCAGGGGATGCCATGCGAGGAGCTTTTGACTGGGAAATGTACTACAAAAGAATCCCGATTCCTCCTGAGCTCCAGAGAGCTGATCCCAGCGACCCCTTTGAGTAAGTAGCAATAAAGGGGAGAGTGGGAAAATGAAGCAAAACTAGCAAAGAAGGTGACTGCGATAAAAGAAGCCAGGCCCAGGAATTTCCATGCAGGCTGCATCGTAGTAATTAAAGGTAGTAGAAGCAAGCAGCTATGAACTTCAAACTGGCAAAAAGATCAGGGCAACAAGTTGTCAAATTCACAAGCTGTGCTCAGTAACACTTCCTGATCTTTTCTGGCCTGGTGGCTGTGTGAAAAAGAAACAGACACATAGTTAAGAGAAAGTATTGGCATTGGGAAAGCAAAGAACGTGACTACAGCAATTCTCTCTACTCCGCAGACTGCTTTCTGAACAAATTTTAGTTGTGTTTTCTTTGCTGAGGGTTGTTACAGTACATGCATTAATCACTGTGTCCACATTTGTGGCAGCAAATGCTTTGTTTATGATTGGTGATATTGCTATTGTGTGTGTGTTGCTGTAATTTTAACACAGGGCTGTCAAACCTGAACAGTGTCAAGCTGATTTGTATATAATTCTTGATAAGACAGCCTCTAATACCAATATTACATAGATCTGCTCATTCAAAGGAATGACTGTCTGCTCTTCATAAAATTGTATTTTTAATTTTTTTTTTTCTTTTTATTCTCATGTAAGGTTCAGCTGGGGTCAATCCTCACCAGCAAAGAGAGGTCAGGCAGCCAGACATGGTTCAGTGTGATAGAGTCCCCAAGTCTCTTATTCAGCATGCATCTCAGCAGGGCTGGCAGGCAGACTTGCTGTGATTCTCATTCCTGTCTGAAATGCCACACTGCAGATTTTGACAGGTTAGAAAGTCAGCATTTTCCCCTTCTCAACACAAAACCTGGAAGCAATAGCAACAGAAAATCAGTGTCTCTGGCCCAGACTCTGCACTATTTGAAATGAAAGGATGTGATTCTTGCAGAGCATGACCCTTGTATCCAGGGGTTGACCAGAATGTTGAAAAGAAGTAGGTAATTGCAGCATTCTGTGGCTTATTTTCATTGTTCTCGTTGTTACTTTTTACCTAGCAGTCCCCCATCCAGGCACATCAGTCTTCATCTTGCATTGGTTTAAGTGCTGATAAAGTACTTTCCTTCTCCTGGCAGTGTGGCAACTCTTCAACACAGATGCAGCAAATGCAATCACAGAATGATTCAGAGCAGCTAGATGCCCCACTGCTCTTCCACAGGTCTTCCTGGTCCTCTGACCAGCTGTGATTTCTTGCTGCTTTCTGAAAGTCACCTCATATATCCTATAATTTGGTTCAGCATTTGAAGTTTGTGTATAAGTAGAACTTAGCTGTTGCAACTAGAGAGTTGTTTATCAGCAGTTTCGCATGCTTACAGTTTGTCATATTCATCTCTCAAAAATGAGAGGGCTGAAGAGGAGATTCTTGAAAGAAGCTTTATAGAGCAGACAAGGCTTCACATGCACTGCAGAGCAGATGAGTCTATTTTGCATGAAGTGTTGTTGCTAGCATGGCAGCAGTCAGTGCCCACCTTGCCCTGCCTCCATATGTAGCGCACAAAGATAATGGCTTCGCAAAGAATATTTGATGTGTAAATCTCTTGTAATTTGAGTCACTGCCTCCCCCAAAAAAGCACGTCTTCCTCATTTCTAAATAAATCAAGGATTGCCTTCCTTTGTTTTCCCTATCACAGAATCCACATCAGAGGTGTGCAGGATGAAAAGCAGTCAGGCACAGGGACCCATTGTGTCCACCCCACATGTGGGAACAGAATTGAAGACCAGCTGAGCTAGGACAATCTGTTTGCTCAGACGTATGCATTGCCAAGAATGGCAAGGGTGGAAGTGTTTCTAATGATCAATATTTTTGCTTAGTTAAGAAATTGTTTTCTAATTGAAAGTCAGTGCTTTTCTCCTAGGGCCTTCTCTGTTGACACCTCGAGCATTTAATACTTTCCTTACGACAAATAACATAAATGTTGCAGAAGTCATGCTTAAATATCAGTAACTTAATTGACTGAGGCAGCTTATACAGAGTTAAAGAGGCAGAACTGTTTTCCTTTAGGTGCATACTCTAAAGCTAGAAATGGCTTCAGCAAGAACTGTGATTATTATGTGACTATTTTGTAAGCAGTAGGGGTGTGTATATATATATATATATTTAAGTTAAATATTGTTCTATTGGTATTCTAGTAGCTCTGTTTTTTGCTAACAGCATCAGACCTTAGTTGATCCTTAACGAAGTGGAAAATTGCCAAAGTTTTTAGTAAAATACCAGCAAATAATGGGTATGAGATCCAAAAATTGTGCGGCTCAGTTTTTCCCCTCACTTGAAATGCCAGCCTATGTTCAGCAGAAAAGGTCACATCAGCCTTAATGTACATAAAAACAGATCAAACTGCAGAAGACCCAAAATTAGTCATTGCATCAGCTCTATGATGTACTTTTTTTCCATCTGCATGTAATCAATATACTGCTTTAGTGGAGTTCAGCAGTGTTTGCAATTGGCCCAACAAACTGAAGTGTGTTCACGTAGGCTTTGCTGTGACAGTGTGGAGCTGACTGAATTCCAATACTAGCTGAGGTAGCATTTCTGGAAATAATTTTTTCCTTTAAATATATGTATCTTTTTCTATCCAGAGTCTCTGAACTCCTTGTTGATTTCCCTTTGTTGTATGTCGTGGAAGCAATGGACATTTTGTATAGCATTCAGCTGCCTTATTGCACTTACAGCCCATCACAGTTGACTGTAGTGATTTTTTCTCTTTTGATGCACATACAGATCTATGATACATTCTGAAGGGGACTTCATGTTGTTTCTCTCTGATGTATTTAGGGCTAGGGGCAGAGCAAATTGATTCTGCTGTATTGTGGGAAGCGGTCTTTGTAAGATAAATGTGAAATCATCACCATACCATGATGATGCTCAGTGACTTGATCCCAAGGTCCCTGATTGTTCAGCAAAACTTGAGATAACTTGTAAAATATTCGTCTGGTCTATAAATTGGGAGCAACAGAGATGTTTACCTCCTTAATGGCAAAGTTCATCGTGGCTTGTGATCTTTCATTGACTTGTTTCTCTGCCATGGTAGAGATTGGGGCGTAGCTCACAAGCTCTGGTGTTGCTGTTTCTCTTTCTGTGGTGGAAAACACGCACTGTCCTCTGGAGGAGTTTTCCCAACTCAAGCTGTTGCCACTTAAAATAATAGGGTAATCTTTTTACCATAATGGACTGCGATATAGAGCATATTAGTGTATGTGATCTACTAGCCTGTCTGGGCTAAAAGCTCTGTGGAAGTTTAAAGTAGGACTTTGCTCAAGCCTGTTGGGGATGACTGATCCTTATTTCCTGGCAGCACTTACGTAACATCAATTTACATTATCATGTATCCTGTCTGAAAGCAGGCAGAAGTGTCCTTTGTTGCCATCAACAACTGGACTAGAAATCATCAAAAATTCAGCTCAAAAATCTGTTTCAATAAAATCACGTAATGGAGATGACTAGTATAGGTTAGGATAGGAAAGGCTGCGCAGCTCCTCAGAGCAGTTTTGGTTGAGGTGTATCTTCACGATACAGTCTGGAGGGAGAGGTGTGAGCAAGACCTGACAACATTGCTATGGAACTGCAGCTTAGAATGGAGATGAGAGGAGTGTTCTGCCACTTGCTAAATACCAAAACTTCCAGCATCTGGAAAACTCCAAGCATGGAGTTTTGTTGTATGAATACTACTTGCTCTTGAATGGTTCCCTTCTATAATTCCCTGTTTGCATTCTGATGTAGAGGTGTCACCTCCGAACCTCCCAAAAGACAGAGCTGGAGAGTCACATAATTCTAGCTAAGGACCAGAAGAATAGTTTGGAAAAGTCTTTTAGCTGGTGAGTTAGAAGACTTTTTGTAACCTTTTCTGAGATTTGTGCTCTTTGTACTCTGTTTCCCTTCTATGAAATAGGAATAGAAAAGCCTCACTATGCCAAAGCTACATTTGGTACAAATGCAGCCAAGGCTGTAGGACTGAGGTTTCACAGTACTGTGTGGCATTCATTTAGTACGAATATACTTCTGCCATAAGATAGGCTGCCCAGAGAGTTTATGAAGTCTCCTCCTTATACTCTTTCCTGTGCAACCTACTATAGGAAACCTGCCATAGCAGGGGACTGATGGACTTGGTGATCCCCAGAGGTTCCTTCCAAGCCTTACAATTCTGTGATTCTAGTAAAATTCTGGATCTGCTCAGTGAATTAAAATAGGTAATTAGTGTATTGTTCTCTTGCCTAACAGACTGTCAGCCTTCAATATAAAACATGACTTTAATATGATCAGTTATGCGTTAGATTGCCTGGCACTTTCTGTTGATTTGCATTTTTACAATCATATTATTACTATGTAAGCTGTTGTCAGGCTGCTCTTTTATTTGGATTTATTATACTCTAGCTTAGAAATGTTCATTTTTCTGCAATTCCTTACTTTCAGTATTTATACATATTTTTAACAGCATGATGGTACAAAGAAACTCTTTGCATAGGCTGCATTTCAAATCTGACAAGTACTTTTACAATTTTATGATCATTTTCTGAAATTTAGAAAGATGATGAAGGATGAAGATTGCTGTTCTGTAGCTCCCAGTGCTTTATAGTGTGTGTCTTTTATGGCTGATTTCTGCCTGTAAACTTATTCACAAAACCTCTCAAAACCAGAAACAATCGTATTTTTTTCCTTTTCTTTTTTTTTTTTTTTGTTTTTTTTTTTGAGTATAATCTACTGTTTTGAACTGTGCTTCAGGAATATTTGATGCAAAGGCATTATTTTACAGGAAAGCAGTTGCCAGCCAGTATGTGTTTGTGCAATTTAGGGTCTTGATTTATTGTTTTGACAAGCAATGGTTTATAGAAGAAATGGTAGTGGAGATAACAATAGCTTTTACAAACTGCTGTCCAACTGTGACCCCATGAAAATTTCAGAATTCTCTATCAATGAAAAATGCTAACACTGACGCACAGCATTTATGAGTGAAGATATGAATATTCCAT